TTGCCGTTGTATTTGTTACATTATCATATGCACTAATTGGACGACTGCTCATACAAAACTGCTTTAGATCTTTGACAAGTGTTTGTGATGATTGTAATGATGGCGGTGCTGGTGGATTAGGTGGAGGTAACGGTGGACGAGAACGCATTGGTGCAATACGAAGCGATGAACTGAGAATTTTGCTATTGTTGTTGTTGTTGTTGCTGCTGATGCTGATATTGCTGTTGCTGTTACTGCTGAACAATAATTTGGAATGAATCGGACAATTCTTATTTATTATTAATGGACTGCTGGAACCTGGTGATGCTAAAAAGGTTGTTGGACCAGGTGGAGATGGTGAACTATTGCTAACAACTTGTGCTTTCTCTTCCTCATATGACTGACCATTTGTAACCACAGGCGATGTTTGACGGCATTCATCCGCCGAATGTGTACTGCTATCTTCGGTGGTCGAACCGGTTGAAGTTTTTTCCGGATTACGTGATGAACTGTTGCTAAGGCTATTGCTGTTGTTGCTGTTGCTGTTGTTACAGTCGTGGTTGTTTTTTTGACTACCACTGTTGTTACTGTTACCATTGCTGTTATTATTGCCATGTTTTTTCGCAGGTGACTAAAAAAAGAAAGCAGTATAAAAGTCATCAATAGTCAAACCTAATGTAATTAGCTAATCATAAAATTGAAAGCTAATATTAACGCTAATAGCCATTAAAAACTTTAGTTAGAGAAACAGATAAATAAAGGTTGATTTTACATTTGTATACCACAAACAGAAAATTTATGATTCCAATAAAGTAAAAGTAAAAACGAAAAAAAAACACTAAAGAAAAATTTTGTCAATTATTGTGATGTGAAAAATAAAATAAAATCAAGTAAAAAAAATCAAACTTTTGATATTAAAGCCTTAGCTGCTCTTTTAACAAGTGTCGGCTTCTCTTTCACCACTTTTTTATTGTCCATCATTCGATATTGCTCCATGATTTTCTCTTCCAACTTCTCTTTATGACGTCTTAATGACGACAGCTTTTCCTAAACAATAAACAAGTTATAGTGCATTAAAAAATATATAGTTTATTTTATAGGAAAATCCATTAGATAACACTACCACAAAAAAAAAGACCGTCTTTTAATTACTGTATATTTTTATAAAGAAAGAAAATGAAATAAAAGAATAAAAAAGAAAATTTAACGATCAGTACCTCTGATCACCACATTTCAGAAAGTAATATAGAAACATTCAAATGAATTCATTTTCAACAAGAATACCTGAAATTGTTTCTGTTCTGCAAAATAATTATCCTTATCGTTCAGCGCTCGTGCCAACAAATCTTGATTTTGCGCTAGAAGATTATCCATTTGTCGTACCAACGCTTTACTCTCCTCTTCCAGAGTTCTATTCAAATGATTCAGCATCTAAATTGAACAAGCCATAATTCATACGGTCCGCTTCAGTGACGCCAGTGAAAGTTATTGTAGAAAACAGGTTTCTAAGACAAATAACAACTGTACATCAATTTTATGTTGTAGTTTAGCAATTTCAAGATCACGAGACTGTAAGGCTCTGGTTGCTTCATCAAAATTTGCACTCAGCTTTGCCATTGCTGCACGTTGAGTTTGATCCGCTTGACGAAGTCTTCTGATTTCTTCTGCTTTCAAGTCACTATCACGCAACAACACAGTATTCTCCTTCCTAAATCAGTTTCTAACGTAAGATAAAAAACAATACAGCAAAGCAGTTTATTCATAAGGCAACAAAGGTTATGAAAAGAAAGTGCATACGGTGATTTCGACAGACCAAAATACTTCTTACCGTAACTGCTCATAATCTTCTCGTAAAACTGTCAAATCTCCTTGCAAACATCTTGTCTCTCGTTCCCTTCGTTGACGTTCTTCAGTAATCAAAATTTTCATTTCTTCAACGTGCCTACGCTCTCTTTCAGTTTCCATTTTTATTATTGAAACTTCTTCACTCGTACCCTTAAATTAGAAAATTTGAAACAGATTAGTAAGAACAGTTGTTTTGAGGTTAAAGAAAAAGCAGTGCTTTCATCATTATGGTTTACTCAGTTGTTGACTAGTAACAGTTAGGAGACTGATTATCCCAAAGCAACATCTTCTACTACCTTTTGTAATTTCAGCTTGGATTTCAATTGAGAGTTCTCATATTTGGCTTGATCATAATCGGCAGTTAACATATCGTGCAACCTTTGAAGTCTGTCGTGATCGGCTAACAGTGCAGAATGAACATTTTGTACAGCGTCCTAAAATAAATCAATTGATATAGTTTGATTTTGAGATCGCAGATATTCTAA